AGAGACAGCAGACTGCTGTGCTGGCGGCAGGTGAAGAGAGGGGCAAAATCACTTAAGGGGGTCAGAGAGGGTCTCTCTGAGAAGGTGACTTCTGAACCAAAGGAAGGAACTGGCCATGCAAAGAACTGGAGGAACAGCATGCCAGATGGATGGAACAGAAGGGCAAAGCCTCTGAGCAAAGGCCCTTTTCCACATGAGGGACGACAGTAAGGAAGCCATGTGGATGGAGCAGAGTGAGGGATGGACAGAAGGGTAAGAGATGGGGTCTAGGGTCGGGGCAGACGCCGGATCATGCAGAGCCTTTTAGTTCTGGCAATCAGTTTGGATTTACTCTTAATCCAAAGGAGGCGAAATTACCGGGGATGTTTCTTTAAGATGCAGATTTCCTAGTTTCACCCCTTTGAGACTACTTATTATGGCTAGGTTGGGACTGAGAAGTCTGTATTTTTAACAGCTCCTTGGGAGCCTCTGATACTGTGCCAGGTTTGGGAAGCCTGGGACTGCATGGTCTCGGAGCCTCTTTCAGTTTTCAGGAAGCAGAGAAGCCAAGTGTCAGAACATCTTGAAAAAAGATCTTAAAAGTTGTATGACATTATGGAGAATTCCTTTCTTCCTTCCCTCACAACTCCCTATCCGCCTGGTAGAATTAATTCGGGTTTTGTTTGTTTTTTTAGCTTGTTTGCAAAAATCGCAGATGGGGTACCTAACACAAGGAAGGTGAAGCCAGCGTTATGGGGGGAAAAGAACAATCGAAAGTATCAGGTTATAACAGCAGCAACCCCACCAAAACATCATCAGGATTTGCCAGTCCCTGATGCTGGCGATGATGGATGAGGGTTGTCCTCACCCTAAGCCTGGTCCACCAGAGCCTGGCAGTAGCATTCCCCATCTGTCCCTGTGCTACAGATAACCCATGCCTCCTCTCCCTCCAGCAGCAGGAAGTCACTGAGACCTTCCACACAATGCCAGCTCTTACTCATCGTCTATTTATTCACTGCCACATTGCTCACATCAGTTATTGTTGTTTATTTTTCCCTTTTGAGGGCTTGCCTCAGATACAGATTTGGGTCATGGTTTCCTATAATGCCCCAGAGTCCAAAACCCCATTCTTACATGTGTCCAGCTCAAGGCAACACACATCCATTGATAAGTTCGCTGATCACTTTTCTAGGAGAAATACGGGGTACAATAGAAAATGCATCAACTGAGCCATCGGAGTTGACTGAGGCATTGGCTGGTTTATTTCCACCAACTGTGACGTGAAGGGATTAACTCAAAGCATCTCAAAATCCCTTTCTAACTCTTTGAAACAAATGCGTGTTCTCTTTAGCCAATGCATGTGCTCTTTCATTTATTCATTGCACAAATGTTGAGTGTTTACCACACAGTGGGCTCTGGGGCAGTGAGACACAGTCCCACTCCCAGGGAACTCATAGTCTGGCGTGAGGAAAAATAATGAAATGGCAACAGCTCATATCAGGAGTTGCAGTCATAGTAGCAAAAGGACTGTTATATCCGAGAATAGGGCTTAGATCTCCCCCTAAGTCTGCCCCCGGCGTCACCATCTCTACCTCATCAGTGGGGACCCATCCTGCCGGTTGCTCAGGCTCAAAACCTTGGAGTCATCCTTGACCCCTCCCCTTCTCTTATTCTCTCCCACCCCACCTTTAGCCAGCAGCAAATGATGCTAGAGTCCCACTTTCAAATATCAGAATCTGACC